TGTTTTACAGGTCTACTCTGTGCTTGTAGCAACAATATGTTATTCCTGCAACTTCATTTGCTTTCAAGCTTGTTCTGTTTTTACCAGAAGGGTTGTTTATTCTCTTCAGTGATCCTCTGGTGGCTGCTTTCAATTCTGTGCTCTGCACTTGCTCACTAACAACACAGCACTAGTAGTGCTTCATTGCCGTCAGTTAGTCATCACAGAATGCATCGAAAGAGTTTAAAAACAGCATAGACCAGCAGTTTGAATATACATGCACATTTATTCCCTGAAAATCTCAGCACTGGAATTTCAAGACCCAGAAGGGCTCAGGAAGGGGGATACTATTCTAGTCTCACCAAGATTTGGGAATCCTGGGCCCCTCTGGAACCAAGAGCTATCTTCTTGCTTTGCCTGATCAGTGTGCAGACATTTCCCTGGACTTTGATGACTTTATTCCTTATTACACAGGAGGAATTCTAAGATTCGCATTATGGGTAACATTTTATTCACAAGCTAGTAAACCACAAGTGATGTAAAAAACTGGCAATATGTGTGGTCAAGTGGAAGGTCTCCACTACAAGGGCAAATGTGTTTTATGTTTCAATTGTGGTTTACATTTCCCCTTCAAATGTTTCATTTCCATGTTGCAAAACCCAAGCCAGATAAATACTACTCTCAGTTCAGACACAGATCCTGCAGAGGGAGAGGTGATCATGCTTCCTGTTGCTGGAGACTTGAGGTCACACACAAAGGAACTTAAAATAGTTGAGGCAAGAAGAACGGCAGGCTTGCAGGAGGATTTAGCAAAGATGAAACTGAGTCTATGTCAGGGGTGGGCAAACTTTCTGGCCTGAGGGCCACATTGGGGTTGCGCAACTGTATGGAGGGCCAGATAGGGAAGGCTGTGCCTCCCCAAACAGCCTGGCCCCTGCCCCCTATCCACCCCCTCCCACTTCCTGCCCCCCTCAGAAGTCCCGACCAATCCAACCGCCCCCGCTCCTTGACTCCTGACTGCCCCCTCCCAGGACCCCCTGCCCCTCGACCCCCTATCCAACTCCCCCTGCTCCCCATCCCCTGACTGCCCCCCCCGAACCTCCACCCCATCCAACGGCCCCCTGCTCCCTGACTGCCCCCCAGAACCCCCTGCTCCCCACCCCCTTACCACACCGGAACCAGCCATGCCGCCACGCTGCCTGGCAGGAGCAGCGGGCCAGAGCGCTGGCAGCTCAGTGCGCTGAGGCTGCGGGGGAGAGGGAACAGCAGGAGAGGGGCCGGGAGCTAGCCTCCCCGGTTGGGAGCTCAGAGGCCAGGCAGGATGGGCCGTAGTTTGCCTACATCTGCTCTATGCTGTATGTGGGAAGAGCTGCAGTGATGGCAACAGACAGATTTGCAACATAAGAATGGGAAGAAGGAGAATTTAGAGTCACAAAGTGCCAAAGTTTCAGCCAATGGAGGCAAATGGAAGATCTGAACTGAAGAAAGAGCTAAAAGAAATGGAGTTGTTTATATTATTTATTTTTATTGCATGAACTGTGTGCCAAGCACTTAGTGTGCTGCTATTCATCTTGGTATGAGACGCAATTAACCCAGCAGGCACCTTAACTTTGCTTGTGGACAGTGGCCCACAGGTTGGGGTCTGTATCTCTATGCATTGCAGATTTGCAGGGAATAAATAATCCCTTATAAAGCCTAGTCAATTGAAGAGATGTACACAATATAATTGACTGCACTGGCACAAAAGGGACCCCTCTGTCACTCCTCCATGCTCCACCCCATACCATTGTGTAACTGGGGACTGTACAATCTCTGAATTCCTCTACTGTATTTTTTTATTTATTTATTTTAAAACAAGCTTTTAGTTTTAAATCTGAAAGGAATTTTTGTGATGGCATCATAAAACCCTTGAGAACTAAGGTTAGCACATTTTTTAAAATGTTTTTATGAAAATTTAAAGGGAAAATATATGTGAACATCAAAAAAGCTTTCTGATAATGAAACATATTAAGCTGTGGAATGGACTCTGAAGGGAAGTTTAAAACCTGATAGCTCTCTATTTTTTTTAAAAAAATGCTGGCAAATTTAATTAATGTTGACAGCTAAACTTTTCATATTCCTGATAAGAGACCCTATATTTTCTCTTAAAGCCCATCAGACACACACAATTATTGTTTCTTATTCACAATCTGCTTATAATGGAAAAAAACCTAAGAGACGCGGCCTAGCAGCTGATCACATAAGGAGGAAAGAGACAGTGACTAAGCACCTACTATTGTACACACAAATCTTTTTTTAAAATTCAATTTAAAATTTGAAGACTATTATTTTATCACCTTTCTATGACAAATATACCTTAGTTATTATAATGAACAGAGCTCCCTCTTGTGGCTGCAGGAAGGTGGACCTGGTGCAACAAAATCAGAGTATAGATGGTATGAGATCAGCACCAGAGAGATGAGAGAAGGGGAGGACTGGTTCTCCTGTGTACCATTACTAACTTGGTTAAACAATAGACAATTAATGGAAAATACCATGGGAACAAGAGGTTGCTGTTTAACGTACTAATTAATAATTCTCTCCCTCTTAACACCCTCTCCCTGCACAAATGCTGCAGAACATAGCAACTTTCTCCTCTTCCCCATTCTATTTTTGACCACCTTCCTCCAAAGCAGAACCTTCCCACCTTGTTCAACTGATTTCTGGCTCACTCACAGACAGTTTGCAAGGCAAGGGATACAATCAGGATATGAAATTCAAGGGTCTAAGTTACGGGGAATGCACATCAAGCCAGAAGACTTCCATTATTATCCCTACATCATTTTCATTATCATTATACCTGGAGTTCTGAAAGCAAACAGAAAATGCTTATTATCTTTAAAGTTTTGAGAAAGAATTCACAGGTACACATATGAGTCTAAAACACTTAGATCTGCTGAAATGTTAGAGCAAAACACCTATTGAAAAGGAAACCGATATAGCCTCAAACCACTCCCTTTTGTGGTTTCAAAGCTGTAAGGATACTAAAATCTGCTGGAGACAGGCATTCACTCCTGGATGAAACTGGCAAGGTAAGACACTTTGGGCCCTACCTGCCTTAAGAGTGGCTCCCTTTCAGAGTCTATCATTGCTCCCCAAACCCTTCAAATAAACATTTCTATGACTGAAAACATAAAATAAAAAAGAAAAGCAGGTAAAAGAAGAATGCATGGATGAGTGTGAAACTCTCAGTAAACAAGCCTGTGCACTAATGCTTTGAACCAATATACAGACCAAGCCAGTTTCTCTCCTGACAGGACTCTCAAAGTCACACAGTATTCACAAATACAATTTTAAAAAAAATGTCTCACCAATATATTATTGGGCTTTGATCTCAGTTCAGTTCCCAGTGGACGAGGATCCACAATGCAAAAATCACTACCACTATTAGCAGTCCCAGAGGCACCAAGATTAAATGAGGTAGATGACTGAATTCCTCTTTCTGGTCAGTGGGCTGGATGGGGGACAATGCCTGCTCTCTGTGTGAGTAGAGGAGTTCAGACTCCAGAGATATCCATTCAACACCCTTTCCCAGTACTGAATTCATATGCTTTTTTTAAAAATTACTTTTGAAAGAACACAAAAGAAAATGTCATGATTGACTCCTCAAGGAAAGAGCTCTGAATTGGCATAATCAAGACAGGTCCATTTTTAAGTCTAGCACTTTTGACGGTGCCCTTTAAATTCTTCACCTCATAGATATTGCAACCAATGAAAGTACCTCCAACAGCTGTATTAGCGTGACCAGAACATATGTTGGTTTCTGCTTATCCACCTTCCACTGAGAAGTGACAGGGATAGATATGTGCAGTGCAGGATACAGGTGGCAGCAATCATGCTCAGGCGCACTCATTCTTTGTCAGGAAAAATAGTGCCAGAATTCCAGCTCCTTCATTTACTGCGTGGTTCAATTTTTAGACATTTTGAAAAACAGTCAATTCTTGAACTCATGTCCTAGATTCTTGCTGCAGAGAACTACCATAAAAATCAGAACTGGCCACCAGCAGAGGACAAGCATGCCACACTCCATGACATTTCAATGGAAAGATTTCTATTTATCAACAGAAGCTGCATTACAGCAATTGCATCCATAAGGATATAGAAAGAGTTCCCCCTCCTACTTTATGAATACTACTTGAGCTGCAGGGTGTTTTTGTTCATTCAGGCTTTTAACTGATCAATATTTATTGGATTTTTTTCCTTATTTTGCATGGATGTTTTAGGTTAGACAAGATTTTATGTAAGACAGAGCATGGCAAATCACTGACTTTTGTATGTTAATGGGATTGTACAGTTCAGAGTTATTTTTCTAAAGATGCTCTATAATGCTTTTCATCCTCCAGACACTTTGCAAATATTACCTAATTCTCACAGCACGCTTCTGAGACAGAGGAACATTAGTATCCCCATTTTACAGATGGGGAAGCTGAGCCACAGAAGTTCCACATCTAACCTAAAGCCACAGGAGGATTCAAAACCAGAATTAAAACTCAAGTTCTTAGTTCCAAGTCTTGTGCTCAGACAAGAACTCTCTTTCCTAAGGTGGAGGAGCAACAGAACCACACATTTTCTACTGTCATAAAATCAACATGCCTGAAGTAGGTATTTTTAAAAGGTGTATAAAAAGGATGTAGACGTTCCACAGTTCCCTGTAATTCTAAGTCAAACACCCTGTAGAGACTACTGTATTTTGATGTTATAATGGTGCCCAGTTAAAAGAGATACCTGTTAAAAGAATTGTCCTCTTAAAAAGAGACAATGCCTATACACCAGACTATGAAACCCTTAAATATCCGAAAAGTAATAAACCTGATGGCTGAAATACTTTTTAAAACTCATCTGTCTAATAAGTTATGTTTCCTGTACAGTGAATTAAATTTTCCTGGCGCTCTTTTAGATGAAGACCTGATGCAAATATTCACATGTGCAATAAAAATGTGTTTAATTGATTTCTACATGTTATTTATTTCCATTTATCCTACCTGAGGATTCCAACTGGGATCCAGTTTCTTCACTGTGGCAATGTATTCTTGCATAGCCTGGTGGGAACTTGAATCTCCCAGCGCTTTCCATGCTTCCCTGAGGTACAAAGAAAAACACAAATGGCCCACTCAGTAGAACGGATACATCCGTCTTTTACTCATTGTCACCAATAAAACAGTGATCAGGCCTAATGCAAGCCTACCTTCATACTTCTGGGCAAAAGAAAGACATCTTTTATGCAATTTTGATGCCATCAATCCTCTAGTCAGGCTTAAAAAGAAAAACTCCTTCACCTACTCATATTTATTTGTTGCTGATTAAACCAATACAACAGTAAATTAGCAGAACAGCAACACCATTTTAAGAATTCCGTAAAGCAGGGGTTCTCAAACGGGGGTCGGGACGTTATTACATGGGAGGGGTTGCGAGCTGTCAACCTCCACCCCAAATCCTGCTTTGCCTCCAGCATTTATAGTGGTGTTAAATATATAAAAAAGTGTTTTTAATTTATAAAGGGGGAGTCGCACTCAGAGGCTTGCTATGTGAAAGGGGTCACCAGTAAAAAAGTTTGAGAGCCACTGCCCTAAAGGATTATTTTAATCATTAACCGAGAGAATAAGAGAGAGATACATGCAAATGTTCTAGTTCAATCAATCTAAAAAGATGTGACCAAAAATAAAATAAAATAAAATCAGAAATTGTTAAGAATTGCAAGGATTTCCTCTTACCATTTCTGCTTTCCTTCAAAATCAAAGAAACTGGGCTTGGGAGTGTTACAGTTTCCAAATTTGACCTAAAGAAGAAAAATGTCCTTTGTTACAATGAATGGTAGAAAGGGATAAAGTTTAATTTATCATTATAATTTGTTAGCCAATTCATAGCAGCAAATATCCAGATTTATTACACCTCTTGATTTCAGAGCAAATTTATACTCTTGTCTGATTAACAGTTATTAGGCTCATCTCTTTCTGGCAAACGTCTCAACTCCAATTTTTTTTATTTTAACAGTCTCACACAGCTATTGGTGTATTGGCCTCCTGTTATTTTCTGTACAGGATACAGAGATGGAATTCTGATATGCAGATCATTTCTTCTGCATGTATTACCCAGTAGGTGATGCTGCAGAGTGATTGTCACTCAAAGACTTGTCAGAGAAAGAAGGTCCACTTTTGAGGAAAATTGCCTTCCTTATCCTGGTGGCAGAAAAAAGCCAGAAAAGAAAGGAAAGACAATGGTCACACAGCAATCGCAACCCAACCGTCTTCCAACACCACCTACAATGTCTGCCAACGAGCCTGTGGCTCAAGAATTGGACTCCTCAGTTACCAAAGGACCCATGAAAAATAAAACCCATGAAAGAGATCATCTTCAACCTCAAAGGATCACCGACTATGTATATTACCCATCTGTATAGCTCATTGTCAACAAGACTAAAGAAAAATCTCATTTATGTTAGGGAATGTAGATATACAGCTAAACCACATATTATGATTGTTCATTAAGGATGAAATTCGCCTCCTTCTGCACAATGACTAAATAAGTGGGCTATGTTTAATAATCTTTGATGGCCAAGCTGAATACAAAGAGAACAAACTTAAGTGGAAGAAGTCCATATGATCTCTGGATTTCCTCCAGAGGCATCTAGGAACATGGCAGCCAGAGCAGATACACCAGAAATGGGAAGTGAGTCAAGATTGGAGGTGGTTGGGATGATCCAGTTGGTCAGAAAGAGGAAAAGTAGTACACTGTGGAGTAGAGGATGGAGCTGTAGGTAGAAACAAATGATTCATTACGGGAGAGTGAGGCAAGAGAAAAAAAGGAGGCTAGAAAAAAAAAGAGGTGTTGATGGACTGCAATTCATAGAAGGAATATAAGTTTGGGGTGGTAAGTGAATAAACAATACTGAAAGAGATGAGATAGTGATGATAACATATTCTAGAGGGCGTGTAGTGGACTCCACATGTAGACACAGAAGGCCGTTACATAAAGACCCTTTTAAACTGATCTGGTAGCACAAAGGGGGCTTTGTAGTGGCCATCAATTACATTTAATGACCCTTTAACAATACCAAAGTGGTGTAAAGAGGCCTTAGTGTAAACGAGAATCAGATTCAGGATATTGTTAAACACATGAAGATGTATTCATAGTAAGGCTGTCAATCACAATTAACTCGAAAAAATGAATCGTGATTAATCACAGTTTTAATCGCACTGTTAAACAACAGAATACCAATTGAAATTTATTAAATATTTTGAATGTTTTTCACATTTTCAAATATATTGATTTCAATTACAACACAGAATACAAAGTGTACACTGCTCACTTTATATTATTTTATTACAAATATTTGCACTGTAAAATGATAAATGGTATTCTTCAATTCACCTCTTACAAGTACTGTATTGCAATCTCTTCATCGTGAAAGTGCAACTTACAAATGTAGATTTTTTTTTTGTTACATAACCACTCAAAAACAACCAATGCAAAACTTTAGAGCCTACAAGTTCACTCAGTCCTACTTCTTGTTCAGCCATTTGCTAAGACAAACAAGTTTGCTTACATTTATGGGAGATAATGCTGCCCAGTTCTTATTTACAATGTCACCAGAAAGCGAGAACAGACGTTCACATGGGACTTTTGTAGCCAGTATTGCAAGTTATTTATGTGCCAGATATGCTAAACATTCGTATGCCCCTTCATTCTTCGGCCACCATTCCAGAGGACATGCTTCCATGTCGATGATGCTCACTAAAAAAAAAATAACGTATTAATTAAATTTGTGACTGAACTCCTTGGGGAAGAATTGTAGGTCTCCTGCTCTGGTTTACCCACATTCTGCCATATACTTCATGTTATATGACTCAGCACATGTTCATTTTAAGAACACTTGTTGCTGCAGATTGGACAAAATGCAAAGAAGGTACCAATGTGAGATTTCTAAAGATACCTACAGCACTCGACCCAAGGTTTAAGAATCTGAAGTGACTTCCGAAATCTGAGAGGGATGAGGTGCGGAGCATGCGTTCAGAGATCTTAAAAGAGCAACACTCCAATGAGGAAACTATAGAACCCAAACCACCAAAAGAGAAAAATCAACCTTCTGCTGGTGGCATGACAACACAGATGATGATCGGGGGAAGTCCCGAACGACTGGAAAAAGGCTAATGTAGTGCCCATCTTTAAAAAAGGGAAGGAGGAGGATCCTGGGAACTACAGGCCGGTCAGCCTCACCTCAGTCCCTGGAAAAATCATGAAGCAGGTCCTCAAGGAATCAATTCTGAAGCACTTAGAGGAGAGGAAAGTGATCAGGAACAGTCAGCATGGATTCACCAAGGGCAAGTCATGCCTGCCTAATCTAATTGCCTTCTATGACAAGATAACTGGCTCTGTGGATGAAGGGAAAGTGGTGGATGTGTTGTTCCTTGACTTTAGCAAAGCTTTTGACACTGTCTCCCACAGTATTCTTGCCAGCAAGTTAAAGAAGTATGGGCTGGATGAATGGACTATAAGGTGGATAGAAAGCTGGCTTGATTGTCGGGCTCAACGGGTAGTGATCAATGGCTCCATGTCTAGTTGGCAGCCGGTATCAAGTGGAGTGCCCCAAGGGTCGGTCCTGGGGCCGGTTTTGTTCAATATCTTCATAAATGATCTGGAGGATGGTGTGGATTGCACCCTCAGCAAGTTTGCGGATGACACTAAACTGGGAGGAGTGGTAGATACGCTGGAGGGTAGGGATAGGATACAGAGGGACCTAGATAAATTGGAGGATTGGGCCAAAAGAAATCTGATGAGGTTCAACAAGGACAAGTGCAGAGTCCTGCATTTAGGACAGAAGAATCCAATGCACCACTACATACTAGGGACCGAATGGCTCGGCAGCAGTTCTGCAGAAAAGGACCTAGGGGTTACAGTGGACGAGGAGCTGGATATGAGTCAACAGTGTGCCCTTGTTGCCAAGAAGGCCAATGGCATTTTGGGATGTATAAGTAGGGGCATTGCCAGCAGATCGAGGGACGTGATCGTTCCCCTCTATTCGACACTGGTGAGGCCTCATCTGGAGTACTGTGTCCAGTTTTGGGCCCCACACTTCAAGAAGGATGTGGAAAAACTGGAAAGTGTCCAGCAGAGGGCAACAAAAATGATTAGGGGACTGAAACACATGACTTATGAGGAGAGGCTGAGGGAACTGGGATTGTTTAGTCTGCAGAAGAGAAGAATGAGGGGGGATTTGATAGCTGCTTTCAACTACCTGAAAGGGGGTTCCAAAGAGGATGGATCTAGACTGTTCTCAGCGGTAGCAGATGACAGAACAAGGAGTAATGGTGTCAAGTTGCAGTGGGGGAGGTTTAGGTGGGATATTAGGAAAAACTTTTTCACTAGGAGGGTGGTGAAACACTGGAATGCGTTACCAAGGGAGGTGGTGGAATCTCCTTCCTTAGAGGTTTTTAAGTCAGGCTTGACAGAGCCCTGGCTGGGATGATTTAATTGGGGATCAGTCCTGCTTTGAGCAGGGGGTTGGACTAGATGACCTCCTGAGGTCCCTTCCAACCCTGATATTCTATGATTCTGTGAAAATGAACATGTGTCAGTGTGCACTGCTTTGGATTCTTATCAAGCAGAACCCGTCATCAGCATGGACGCTTGTCCTCTGGAATGGTGGTTGAAGCATGAAGGGACATACGAATTTTTAGCGCATCTGGCATGTAAATATCTTGCGATGCTGGCTACAACAGTGCTATGAGAACACCCGTTCTCACTTTCAGGTGAAAGCAAGAAGTGGGCCGTATTATCTCCTGCAAATGTAAACCAACTTGTTTGTCTGACCGATTGGCTGAACAAGATGTGGGTCTGAGAGGACTTGTAGGCTCTAAAGTTTTACATGGTTTTATTTTTGAATGCCATTTTTTTCTGTACATAATTCTACATTCGTACGTTCAACTCTCATTATAAAGAGATTACACTACAGTACTTGTATTAGGTGAACTGAAAAATACTATTTCTTTGGGGTTTTTTTGCAGTGCAGAATACTTGTAATCAAAAATAAATATAAAGTAAGCACTATACATTTTGTATAGTGTTATAAATAGAATCAATACATTTGAAAATGTAGAAAACATCCAAAAATATTAAAATTAATGGTATTCTATTATAGTTTAACAATGCGATTAATCACGATTAATTTTTTAATCGCTTAACAGCCCTAATTCATAGCTACAAGGAATGCTGAGGAAGACTTGCAGTTCTTTTCCTTTATTTGACTAAAGTCCAACAGCTGCCTTTCAGTAATAGGGTTGCCCACAAAGGGAATAGTGTGCATTTCCCAAAACTTATTCCAGCCTGGGACACTGGCTGGTCCACGTCCAGAAGGTAACAGGAGATCCATGCATGGAGCAACTACAGGATCACAGTCTGGGTGAGGAAGAGAGACTGACTGGCACAAATTCTTTGAACCGTAGTCCAGGAGGAACTAAAAGCAGAATTTTTCCTGAGAGGAACCAGGGAGCATAGAATAAGGAATGGCAGGTAGTAAACAAAAGACATGTTGGTCTATGCCTCCATAATTAATTTACATGTACCCATTAATATTATATTTGGATTTACAGACCCTATCATTAGAGAATAAAGACACCAAAGGCCAGGAAAATGTTGATGCCCACCTCACTTATTATTGGTATCTGCATACAAACAAGGAATTTTCACAAAGGTTAAACATCATTTTGATGAACAATGGAATGAAACATGGACTTAAAAAAAAAAAAAAAGGGGGAAGGAAGGAAGGAAAGAAAGTGATTA